GAATCCCTCCAGTACCCTCCAGTGGCTCCCAGTACCCCCCAGTACGCCGGCCCAGTGCTCCCAGTACCCCCCAGTACGCTCCAGTATCTCCCAGTACCCCAGCCCAGTGCTCCCAGTACCCCCCAGTACACTCTAGTAGCTCCCAGTGAACATTTTTTTGGTTTGGTTTGTCCAATTTTTCTTACACTTTGTCCATTTTGGGGGGTTTTTTTGGTGCCTTTTTTTTTTTTTTACAGTTTATCCTTTTTTGGGTTTTGTTTTTTTTTTCCATTTTTTTAATATTTCATCCTTTTTTTGTATTTTTTTTTATCCTTTTTTCCCTCATTTTATTCAGATACTTTTTTTGGTCTTTTTGTCCATTTTTTTTTACATTTTGTCCATTTTTTAAGGTTTTTTTTGGTCTTTTTTTTAATTTTTTGTTTTCTGTCCAGTTTTTTCTTGGCTGTTTTTTTTTCATTTTTTCTTTATTTTTTTATTTTAATTTTTAAATTATTTTTTCTTTTTTAAAATGAAAATTTTAATTTTAAATTTTTTTGGGGGGGAGAGGGGGATTCCACAGGATTTTTTTTGTCCAGATTTTTTTGTTTGATAGTTTTTTATCCAGTTTTTTGAGTTTTGCCTGGATTTTTTAATTTTTTTTTTGCCTGGGTTGTTTTTCACTTTGTTTTGAGGGGTTTTTCCCCAGGATTTTGTTTGGTTTGTCCACTTTTTCCACCTTTCCTCCATCTTTTCCACCTTTTATCCTCTTTTCCTCCACCTTTTATCCTCTTTTTTCCCACCTTTTATCCTCTTTTCCTTCACTTTTTTCACCTTTCATCCCCTTTTTCCCTTTTATCCACCTTTTCCCCACTTTTTTTCACCTTTTATCCCACATTTTTTCCACCTTTCCTTCACCTTTTCCACCTTTAAACACTTTTTTCCCCACCTTTCCTCCACCTTTTTCGCTTTTTATCCACTTTTTCCACTTTTTATCCACTTTTCCCCACCTTTCCTCCACTTTTTCCACCTTTTTCCACATTTCCTCCACCTTTATCCACTTTTCCCACCTTTTATCCCCATTTTTCCCACCTTCCCTCCACTTTTCCCACATTTCCTCCACCTTTTATCCCTTTTTCCACCTTTTCCACCCTTTATCCCATTTTTCCACCTTTTATCAACTATTTTCTCCCCTTCCATCCACTTTTCCCCTTTCCCCC